CCTGCCCGCCGAGCCCCGGACACTGCCCGGCCCACCGGCCTCCCGACCCACCGAACCCCTGACCCGCCGACGCGCCGACCCACCCTGCCGCTGACCCGCCAACCCCCCGGCCCCTGATCCACCGGTCCGCCGATCCCCCGGCGCCTTGATCTTACCGACCCCCTGGCCTGCCACTCCGCCGACACCCCGATCCCCCGAGTCCCCGAGCCCTAGGCCCAAAGAACACGGCCGGGTGCGCGCTGAGTCGCCGCCCGGACTCAGCGCCAGACCTGCCGCCGGCCGCGAGAGCCTCGGACCTTGGTCCCCCGCGCCCCGAGGGACTCGGTGACCAAAAAGGATCTCCCCGCTCCAGGGGGCAGCCGGGCCGCCCCCGGTGACCACGGCGACGGCGGCCGCCCCCCCGCCCCCCGCATGCGAACCCCAGCAGCGCCTTCTCCCCTGGGGCGCCCGCCACGTCGCCTCTGCTGCTTTAGGTCCTGCAGGGCGATCTGGGCTTCTTGTGTGTTTACTTACTTGGACAGCTGTACCTCATGTCTACCTTTGATTTGAAATGGAAAAAATTCTTCCAACAATAGGAATATAGCTCACTAAATCCCTGTAGGCAGCCACTTAGAACTTTCTATAAAGTGTGGGTTAGCTATAAAAAATATTTTTAATGGGATGGACAACGGAACACAATACCATCACCTAAAATTATTTTGGTGAAGAACTTTGTATGGGAAGATGTTCATGATATTTTAAGAGAAGTCTGTCCAGAATGATTATATTATTATATATATGATTATATATATATTGTACATATAATATATATAAAATGATTACATATATTATCATTGGAAGGTTTGGAAGCATATAGTCAAGTAGTTTTCTTTAACAGTGAGAACACAAGCCATTTTTATACATTTTCTAACTTCATTTTTTAAAAATTCGTAATAACAACAGTAATATTTTATAATATTTTGTAATAACAAGAATAGTATTTTTAAAACAAGGAGAGAAAAATAAATTTATCAGTCGGAAAACTTAAGAGGCGAGCCGGGGCCGGCGGATGGAAGGAGCCTTTGAATGGCGTCCCCATGTGGCCGAGAAGATGCATTTCCTTTGAGAATTTCCTCTAAGTGGGACTCTGCTGAAGAGGGACCTGCGCACCACGTGCTCTGTACTCTGCTGGGCTTCGGGTCTGGCCACCGGGGTCTTAAGGTGCCCTTTGTTTTCGCTTCATCAGCCTGGGCTGAACGTACAGCAAAGGCGTCATCCCGGATGCGTTCTTTGGTTATGAAAGTGGACTCTCCCCAGGCATGGTGGTGGGGCGACACTGTACTCACACGGTTGCGAGAGGTCTGTTCCGAGTGCCTGATTTTCTTTTTCTCACTGATGCTAGCCCAGCTGTTTTCTCATGTCCCCTCCGCCCCACCCCCAGCTCTCCGGGATTGCCTCTCAAATGTGGGGTTGAGGGTAGGGGATAGGGATTTGCCGATCGGAGCCCCTGCACCCTTTTTCCTTTTGGAGGAAACTCCTGAGCACGCAAAGTCGACCCTTCCACTACAGGAGAATGTTCTGGAATCTGCCCCGAGGTCCTTTACCTCCCCCCCAGCTCTTCTTCCACGTGATCTCTCCTTCCCAAATAACACATCTCCTCTACCAAGGGTGGAACCCTGTTTTGTGGGCCTGAAGCTTGTATAATTTGGGGAATATTGAGAAAAAAACCTTCACAAAATTACAATCTTTAAAAAGTCGGTACAGAGCTGGTACAAGGGATGCTCTCTGAAACTCTTATCTAAGTCAATTTTTACAGTGATGGTCATAAAATGAAGATTTTTATATTTCTACCCTTTTTACATTTATTGGTTGATATGTTGGTAAAGATTTTGTAAAGCTTGCCTTTCTCTACCTAAATTTTTTTTAAAAAAAACCTACTAACATGGATTCATGGATTCTCTAATTTAATGAGCTATAACACATTCCTCCATTTGTTTGGATGCTCAGATTGTCCCAAATTTAGCTAGCGGTGAGCCTCTTCAAGCTGGCCCTGTGTTCTGTTGACATGTTCCCATCAGTTTTTGAGCACGTTCCTACTGTCTGGCACAAAATGTTCCATGGTTCACATTTTAGGTTTCTTACCCAGCTGTGTAATCAGCCAAATCTCCAAGTTTCTGTTTCTTTTTTTTTCTTCTTAATTAATTAATTAATTTATTTGTGGCTGCGTTGGGTCTTCGTTGCTGCACGCAGGCTTTCTCTAGTTGCCGCGAGCAGGGGCTACTCTTCTTTGCGGTGCGCAAGCTTCTCACTGCGGTGGCTTCTCTTATTGCCGAGCACGGGCTCTAGGCACGCGGGTATCAGTAGTTGTGGCACACGGGCTCAGGAGTTGTGGCTCGTGGGCTCTAGAGCGCAGGCTCAGGAGTTGTGGCGCTCAGGCTTTGTTGCTCCACAACATGTGGGATCTTCCCGGACCAGGGCTAGAACCCGTGTCCCTTGCATTGGCGGGAGGATTCTTAACCACTGCACCACCTGGAAGTCCCTCTGGTTCTTTTAAATGGTATTCAATAACCACGATATGGGCATTAGGAGTGCTCATTGCAACTGAGATGTTGTTTCTAGCACCTTTTCAGAGGGCAGTTAGAAAATGTACGTGTGTACTTTGTGTGTGTGTGTGTGTGTGTGTGTGTATGTGTGCTGTGTGCTTGTGTATTCACACAACTACTTATGATTCCAGTCCAACTCCACAATTCTTCCTTGCCTATCTTCATTCCATATTTATACCTCCTGTCTCCCACAATTAGAACTCTGGTTCCCCCAAATATCAATATATTTACTCAATTTCTCAAAAACGTAAGTTTTGTGGGGGACTTCCCTGGTGGTCCAGTGCATAAGGCTCCACACTCCCAATGTAGGGGGACTGGGTTCCATCCCTGGTCAGGGAACTAGATCCTGCATGTGTGCCGCAACTAAGAGTTCACATGCTGCAACTATGAGCCCGCATGCCGCAACTAAAGATCCTGCATGCTGCAACGAAGATCCCATGTGCTGTAACTAAAACCCGAGGCAGCCAAAATAAATAAATAAATATTAAAAACAAAAAAACAAAGCCATGGGTTTTGTAAGTTACACCAAAACAACTTCCTAGGTAAAGTTCAGTATCTATTTCTCCCCTTAGAATATATACCACTAAGGGTGTTTTCTTCTTTGTGGTCATGTTACTGATGTGATATAACATTAGGTTTTTGGGTTTTGTTTATATTTATTTTCAACTTCATCTCTTCATACTTGAGTTATTTTTTGGAAAGGTAAAACAGTAAAACAATTCAAAAGTCAAGGCTATATAAAATTGTACACCCAGGAAAGACCAATTCTCTACTCCATCCCTTATATCTCATTTCCATCCACCTCTGAATAATGTTCTATTTCTTGATCTGGGTGTGAGATCACACAGGTATATTATTTTTTATTATTCATAAGGCTGAATGATTCATGCAGTTTCATACACGCATGGAAAAGTGAAAAAGAAAATAAACGCCGTGAGATGAGCCAGTCAGTACTGATCAGAGAAGCAGAATCACAATAAGTATTACTGAACAATGGAATTATTATGGAAATAAGACCTTACACAATTATATCATGAGCTGGGAGAAGTAATAGTCCAGAAGGGGGAGTTGGAGGATCAAAGAACAGTCACTTGTGAGCCTCCATAAAGCAAAGGCAAAGGTGGAAGAGTCGGAGGTGAAGAGGGATCTGGGAAGCGAAGCACATCCCACCCCTGGAGGGGAACCACGAAGGGGCTGGTGAAAGAGTTGATAGGAAATCAACACTTCCGCTTCTGTAGGTCCTCAGCCAAGTATCTGGTGGCGGCACTGGGGCTCCCGTTGATGGACACACAGTTGGGAAGAGAAGCTGGACACGACGGGGGTGGTTGCAGATAGGCTGGGATCTGTCTGGCTGTCACACGCCCAACTGCAGCAACTTTCAGAGAGCAGCGTCTGCTTCCACCTCCCAAATATCATGCGAATTCTCATTTTGGCCAACTCTAACCTCTACGAGGAAATGATTCTGGGAAAGTAGTTCCAGCTATCCCAAGCATAGGTGAAGGTGTTCAATATCATTAGTCCTCAGAGAAATGCAAATTAAAACCACAATGAGATTAAAACCGCCTCCTACAATTGCACACCCCTTCGAAGATCTAA